TGTAACATAGTCATCCCTTTTTAGGATAGTTGGGAATACCTTTATGAGGGAAATATCTTGAGGAAGGAGTTTATTCAGTTGCACAAAAGGTCTGTTGGTGTCAAGAAAACGTTGTATGCTTGAGACTAGGCAAGTTAATACAAATCAAGCACTCAGGTGTAAATCATTTGGAAGAAGTTCTCTCTTTGGGAGAGATGTGGGGACCAAATGTGCTTCAGAGTAGAGAAATATCAGGGTTTGCATTTGCACCCTAATGGAAAACATTAGAGAAGTTTTTGTGAAATGGAAAATTGCTGTTCTCAGTTACGGAGGAGATGGCTAAAAAAGTTGCTTATTGCTTTTTGCTGTTCCCCCCTGCCCACCTTTATGATAGATTGCTCCGGGCTCTTTCAGCTCTTCATGTCCAGTTATGTGCATGAAAACAATGTTACAAAATATTTTGAAAGTCAACAAGAAAATTATATAATGGGAACTGTGAGAAATTATTTGGTCTTGCTATTCATTATGCTAATGTGATTCTGTTGGATGGAGACTGCTTCCTGTTGTTACAAAGCTGTATGAAAATACTTACAATTTTTTCTGGCATGTGCATTTTGGTGCCTTGTGGCATTCTTGTAGGCTGTTCTGTGCTTGCCAGTCAGTGGGCTCTTACCTATAGCAATTTTGTTTTCACCAGAACTAGCACTCCCTTCTTTTTTGGATTATGCTTTTGTCCAATGGTGTGCATTCTTAAAGATCTTTTCTGGTAAGACACTTTACATGTACACATCCTGTGAAGATGTACTTTCTCACTAATACTAACAGAAGATGTACTTTTTGATTGTTGTCATTGCCCACAGGATAATGCCATCTGGTCATGGTAGAGGCTTCACATAAATTTTCTGTAGTTTAGACCACAGGTGCCGTAAGCTAACATTTTCCTTCAGTCCCCACTGAGTGCACTTTTTAGCCCTTGGGATAAGAGACACGAAACCAAAGGAAGTTAAAATGTAACTCGCAGAAAAGCAGCTCCACACTGGTGTCAGAACTTCTTTAACAGTAGCTTTGCAGACTAGCTGTTTCTTGTACCTACAAGATGGTAACACTGAAATTGTACTCTTTTTGATGTAGGCTGGTAATGATATTTCAGTGCAAGTGTACCAGGTAGGTGAGAAAGATGCATGATTTCTAACATGCATTTTGAGTATTTGGGAATGACTTTAATTAATTAAACATGCTTTTCACTGGATTTTGGCAGATTCCTAAGGGTTTTTTAGTTGCTGGTTTTGCAGTTATAAGAATTGGAAGCAAGTTTAGAGAAGACTATCACTTGATATAACTTTCTCTCCTTAATTCTGCTACTCTTCTCCCTGGCTGTTTAACTTTTGCTACAAAAAGTTTTAAAGCCTTGCTTGGTAGAATAGCTTTTACTTTTACCTTGTTGCTTAAATAAAAAGTTTCCCAGCTGATTATTGTTGTCTCTGTTTTCTGAATTAAAATCGTACAGCTTGCGTCTGTTCTTGGGGAGCTACTTGCTCTAACCTGTTAAAGGTCCCTAGTTTGTTAGACAATTAATTCAGCAAAGGTGTTTATGGGAACGTGGTCATGGATTTTAATATGGAGCAGTGTGTCACTGAAGAAAATTTACATGCTGTTTGGTTACAGTATCAGTCCTATCTGTGCCTTCAGACTTTATGTATTGTACCAGCTGTTTGGATGTTGTTGATGAAATGTTATGTCTGTGCCCCTATCCTTATCCCATTCACCCAAACTTAACACTGCTTAGCGCAGTTGGTTGAAGAAATGCTGTGGAATTTTAGCCAGCAGTCAATCTGGTTAGATCCTTTAACTGTTCATTTCCATATGCCTTCATAATAAAGTTAGAAGTTATTTAACAAGGTCATTCTGTTTACAAACCTCCACCAACTCAACATGTTTATTTTGCTAAAATACCTAAATACTTTTTATCATTAGAAGGTGAAAAGTGATAATGAAGGTGGATTTTCTGTCAGTCGTAGACTTGAGCAATAAACAGTAAGTCTTCAAAGTCGCCTTTTCCCAATAGAACTGAATCAAAATATTTTTATGATTGAGGGAAAATTGTGTTGTATGCAGGTTATGTAAATAGAAACAATTGTATTTAGAGCTTTAATTTTAGGGATATTATGCTCACTTTTTCCACTTTGCGCTACAATTAAAAATGGAAGGGGGTGTAAAGAGGAATACAAATGGATTGTAACAGCAAGCTCTATGGTACCATGGATCCCTTGGTTTTGAGTTCTTAGAGACAGCAGTTGAATCAGAGGATGGAGAAGAGGATGAGATCTTCTCTTCTGAAGGCAGGCTGCTGGTGGATCCTGAAGAAGGAACTGCTGCAGTATTGTAAGGTAATTTTTTTTTTCTTATGTATTGTATAGTTCTGCACTGCTCTTAGAATTCTCTTTGATCATTTTGTTGCTTTCTGTGTTCCAGGTGTGCCTTTGTTATTCTTTATCTCTTTCTCCTGTAGTTTAAAGCTAACATGTTCTGCTTTTCCTTTTCATGTATACCTTCCTCTTGGCTCCCTCCGTGCATTCTAAATCTGGCGAGTACATTTCCTTGTACCCGTGCTCTCATTCCGTATTTCCTGGTTCTGTATCATAATTTTGCTGACTTTGCATTCCTATTTGTACAAGGAAAAATGGTAAAAGAACCACTGAGGTTTTCTTAAATATACAGTGTGCATGTATTTGTATATTGTAAAAAATTGTAATATCCTCTCATGATGTTTCTAAGTCTTTTCTCAAGATGGATCACAATACATGTATGGCATATGTAGACTAAAGCATCTCAAGACATTTGTTTTTAATACTTTGAAAACCAGATCTCTCTGTATCTTTTAATTTAAACTAAATTTTTAAATTAATTCCTTAAAGAATTAATTAATAGGTTGAGATATGATTGAGCATAATTTTAATAACATCAGCTTCTGCCTAGGAGAGGAGTTAGGGGAAGGGAAACTTGGAAATCTGGACTCAATGGTTAAGAACATAGGAGAATTCAGGTTGGGAGGGACCTTGGGAGGTCATTTAGTTCAATCTCCTGCTTAAAGCAGGATGAGCTATGAGGACGGGCCAGGTTACTTAGGTCTGGTCTTGAAAACCTCCGAGGATGGCGGCTGCACAACTTCTCTGGGCTACCTGTTTCATGGCTTGACTGTCCTCATTGTGAAAATGCATCCACTTTGAACCTCTCTGCAAGAACCTGTATTTCTGCTGAATTGCTTACAGTTCCTATATACCCTACGTTTCAGTGTGATTTTTTTTTTGTTTGTTTGTTTGCATTCTCATGGACTGCTGCCATCTGCAAAAACTGCTAATACAAATGTTGCACTCTAGTACTGTTTTTCTTCCTGCTTTTTGTCTTCACTGTTGTTCCGAAATAGATCTGGTGATTTTAACTGATGCTGGACTGTTCTAGCAGAAGTAAAAGCAGGTGGGAAGTGGTATATAATTAGCTTGTCTTGTAGGTACTGTTTGTGATAGAAGATTTAAGGGGAAAATACATTTCTGGTAACTAAGCCACACCAGAATCACAATAGTTTTATTATTTTTCTTTGTAAAATAATACTCAATTACTTTTTAACACATTTTTTAATGAAATCTCCAAGAAGTCACCAAAGTCTCCCAAGACATGGTTGACATTGTACACAGAGCTACAGCCTGTGCAGTTATACTGAAGGTCAGATCTATGGGATTAAAGGAGCTCTGAATTATTTGCCCTTGGATAGTTCCTTACTGACAAACTTAACTTCTGTCAAAGGAAGGGAGGTTTTTATGATGGAAAGACTTTTCTTGCTCTTGGCTTACACTTTTCTATAGCTTCTTTGTTTCCTATGATTCTTTAGATACTGTTACTCCCAAAGGAGAAGTAAACAATCTTTTTCTCATTGGTATGCATGGCGGTATCTGTCTTCTGGACAGTCTTTGAGAACAAATATATTAGAAGCAGTTGTGAGTAAAACAAGAAGGCAAGAGCTGGGAAACTAAACAATTACAGACTCCACTACAAGCGTAACCCTGAGGACAGGTCTTAAACCAGGAGCCCAGCAACACTCACGTAAATAGTCCTTTGTAATTCCTCACTGTCTTCTCACAGCTCACTGCTGCAATCAATATTTGCCTTTGTGCTCTGGCCATGGTGCTGAATTGTTTGTGGTAGGAAGTTTCATTGACCTACCAGGGGTATTTTTCAAGCACTCTGTTCCTTCGAGCCCATCTGGGATGCTTTTGAGTTGTTTTACTTCCAGTGTTTGAGATGATGCTGTTTGAAGCTGCTTGACTTGAAACAGTGTGAACAAAAATGTTAGGAAACCAGGCCTTTCACCTCTGCATTACCAGTTCAGTATTGATCCAGCGTGGAAGCAAACAGGCGGCTTTCCTATCTCTTGGCTTAGTAGCCATGTAAGTGGCTATGTAAGTGATGCAATGTATTTGGATTAACACAGCCCTGTTTTAACCAAAAATAAAATGTCAGAATGCTGAAAGAAGTGTTACAGTCGGTAACTATTGGCATCTTCACTGGAAATTGTAGGAGAGAAGTCCGTGGCATACTAGACTGCAAAAATTTTGGGTTCAGTAGTAATGTTGTGGATGAAGATCCATTCTCCTTGTTTGTTTTGGTTTTTGGGGGGCTTTTGGTTTGTTTGGTTTTGTTGGTTTTTTTCCCCTCCCCTTAACAGGTAAATAGAAAAAATGAATTAGGCTATCTTTCACTATGCAGAAACAAGGGTCCCTGCTCACTGTAATTTATTTTGTTGCCAGAAAACTTTATTTCTTTCCCCAGGAGCTCCATTGCAACCTAGGGTATGATTCCCTCCTTTCAGCAGCTGGAGACCATTGTTCTAATAGTAGGGTACTCTTTAGGGCTTTATATATCCTGAAATTCAAGTTGCTTGGCGTTTTCACTATCTATAAATCAGTCATATGAGTTATATTAACTAACTGC